CCTTTGTTCCTCTTTTCCTGGATTCGGAGGCCGCCTCTACCGCGGGGCGCACCTGCCACTCTCACCGCCGGCCAATCGGCGGCTCCAGCCCGCAGGCGGCTCTGCGGAAGGAAGAAGGGAGGGGCTCGCAGCAGCCAGAGGGCGGGGCGGGGGGTGCTGGGGGCGGGGCCAACGGGCGCGGGCGGCTGCGCGCGCTGCCGCCGCTACCGCGTCACTGGAGTGCGCCAAGTGTCTGTGTTTACGTCCCAGTGGAGCCTAAGTCAGCAGCCGACTGGCGACATTGTGACAATACTGAGGCACAAAGTTTAGGAGACATGACCCTCCTTCAAGCCAGCTCCTGGCTGCCGGGAAGAGGAGGAGGTGGGGCGGGGAGATCGGCCTTGGTACCAGCGTTGGAGACACACACACGGTTCCCGACCACCTGCCTGGTCCCACGGAACCGCGCCTCACCTCCAGAGCCCCGCAGATGCAGCACCGTGGCCTCGCCCCAGGGGGTGGCTAGCGCGGGCGCCAGGCGCTGCGGCAGCTCGGGGCTTGTAAACAGATACCCTCGCACGTGACCGTGTGAACTACGAGCTCCTGGGGGCGTGTTCTCTTTCCCGCGAGCTGTGCCACAAAGGGTTGGGGGCGGTCGGAGGGCAGAGAGGCGGGCGAGCAAGCAGGCAGAGACCCCCAGCGTTTTAGGATGGCTGAAGGCGCCTGGCGAGGGTGAGCGGTGGGGGGCGGGGGTGCTGTTGGCACGGCATAGACAGCGGCTGAGTCCGTTGGCGGGCAGGGCTGGTGACCCCTTCCCCGGGGCCTGGCTCTGGAGCCACCATGTTTTTGGCGCTCAAGGAGAGACTCCAGTTGGACTGAGTGGCCTGGCGGCTGCATGTGTTCTACAAGCGGAAGAAGCACAAGTTCATCTTCATCATCTCCTGGAATGAGATTGAGGGCAGTTTTGCCATAACCTGCTACAACCGGATGGCCCAGAGGCAGAGGAGCGGCACCAGCGGTCAGGTGGGTGCGGGATGGGGCGCCAAGCCTGGCACACCCATGTCCAACAGGACCTGCAGGCTGTATAGCCCAGCAGGCAGGGGTTGGCCTGAGGCCACTGCCTCAGTGACTCAGGGCAGAAGCCCTGGGCCCAGAGCCTCCCGTCCTGGACGGAGGGTAGCTCTCCATGGAGCATGTGCAGCCTTTGAGGGGACCTGCTGCCCTGAAGTTTGTCTGGAAAAGAGGTGGGAAGTCCTCACTGGATCCTGGTGTGGGCCAAGTCCAGCCCGATCCTGAGCACATCTGCAGGTAGTGATGTGCCGCTGTGGAAGCCCTCTTGGCGCCTATGGAAGCCCAGGTGTCCTCAGTGCGGGTAGTGAGCGCCTGCAGGATGGTCACCTAGATTGAGGTGCTAGAAATGGTGAGGGAGGATGAGGCGGATACGGCATACCTGGGACTCTCGGTCACGAAGCAGTGGACGCCCGCCGTGGAGCTGGAGTCCCCGCCAAGGCGTGAAGCTGGGCTGGGCACTTCTTCCAGGATCTGCGCTCAGTGCACCAGCAGCCAAGCCCCGTGAACTCGCAGCTGGAGCCGTGCTTGCTGGTATTCCTCGAGGAGATCTTGGGCATGTGGACAGTGCTCTTTGGGGGCGTCCCGGAGGTGACTGAGCAGGAGATCGCCACTGTTACTGTTACTGGGAAAAGGGAAATAAGAATTACCTAGTTTCTTAGTCACCCCTCAAAGAAAGAATTTTTAACGAGAGAAAGAAAGTGTGATATAAGTCAGATTTTTATTAGTAAAATAAAAAGGTAGTAAAAAATAGTACATTCCCAAGAATTGGGAGCTGGCCAATCCAAGAGGGGAAAAATGGCGCTGCTCCTTTGATTTTCTGTCTTGTATCCTGGCCTAGGGGCATTGTGTGTGTGTGTGTGTGTGTGTGTGTGT